TTAAAGATTTATGCATACGAGAATGGGCTTTTTGTTATTTTTTTTTGTTTTTTTTTTGTTTTTTTTTTGTTGTTTAACATTTATTTACTAGCCAGCTACTTTTTTATTCGAAAAGAGTAGAAGTAGCGAAGTTTGTCGGCGCGAAACTGCACTTTTATACCGGAAATAATTTAAAGAATATTGCACATCAGTCTTATCTTGGTTTTCTGTCCTTTTTCTCTCTTTCAACTTACCTATTGCTTTTCTCCTATCGCAAGCGTCCTCGAGTGGTCCTGTGGGGACGCGATCGCGCTCGGCATCGTAATTTCACCACGTGCTCGCTTCTCCTCCCCTTCCTGCTTCCTCTCCCTTGCCGACAGCCACATAGCACTCGAGCAATCGCTCGCCAAGCGAATCTTAAGGAAAAAAGGAGAATGAAGAAGTCCGTGCTATCTTTCCCTCTTATCCGCCGTCCTCTTCGCCGATCTCCTCACCTCTTCAGCGCTGTTGTCGAGAAAAAAAAACCGACTATGGAGTCCTAGAATTCTCTCGTTAAAACTCCACTAACGGAGCTTGGGCACATCACTGGCGATGAGCCGGCGAATGTCTTTTGGGCAAAGAAAATTCGAATTGATTTTTAATTGAGAAAATTGAGAAAGGATAGCAGCGACCTCAATTCAAGCCCAATATATTTGCGCTCTGCTGAAAAACATGTCATGCGCATTAATTGTTAAGTTAATTGTTAAGCATTTTTTAAAACGTTTTATCGCTAAATTTTTATCCTTTATCGTTTCATTTTTGACTGCACATACCATTTCGAAGGTAACGTGCTTTTGACGTATTATGTAGAGCATTGAATTTCATTCGATGTGAACTCTAGTGATACATGCAAACTGATACGAAAGCCGTATTTTCAATTGTAAAAGAAACAGTCGTTATAATTTTCGTAAAATGCCCAAGCTGTTGTATAATAAAGTTGCTTGTAATTTTACAAAATTCGCTGAAAGAAAAATTTATTGCTTGGTTCTTAGGAGATCGCAGCGATACTAATAAGCTTTCAGCGTCACGCAGAATGGCAAAGTCGGGAGGTGAAGGTGCGACCTCGAAGTGGCTCGATGCTACTGTACTCGAGGAAGAAAGTTCGTTATCGAAGAGATGGATACTGCTGGAAGAAGCGAAAAGATGGAAAAACCACGAGAGAAGATCACATGAAGCTGAAGGTAAGCTTTTCCAATCAGCCTTTTATGAAATAAAATCATTTTGGCGAGTTACGAGAATTCACGTGAGTGTGAGACTCGGTAGTTGGAAGAGTTCGGTTATTATCTTTGCTCCGACTACTGACAATAATATACCCGTTCTAATAAAAATTTCCCTTTCACACAATATTCATTGATTTTCACTAAATTACGCACTAGTTCCAAAGACACTTAAATAAATGAAAACGTTCAGTTAATATAGTTTATTAAAGTAATGTGTTAAAAAGTCTACGGTACGAATGCCTCAAGTACATAATTCTCGATTAACATAAAATCGAACTCTATTATGCAGACTCCAGCCGACATTCTCCACTCTAAATATCCTACGAAACTTGAGTTAACCTAGTAAAAGAACATAATGTCCCGTAAGAATAGCTATAACTGCATTTTTTAGTTCATCATGTGACCATCTAATTATTACCGTTTGAATATAGTTTTTACATATTATTAATTTTTTTTTTTTTTTTTTTTTATATATATATTAACTTAATTTTATTTAAGAAAATTATCAAATTGTCATCGCTACATTTTAAGATCTGTATTATCCCGATATTACGGCGCGTTAACTGAATGTTTCAAACGCTCAAGCAAGATAACCAATAACAATAATTAAGACACCGAAAGTGAAAATTCCAAAGTCTACATTATTATTATTATTATTATTATTATTATTGTTGTTATTATTATTATTATTATTATTATTAATAGAATAAACTTAACTGTACTGATGAATAAGATGTAAATATTATTCTATATTCGAGTCGAGCTTTGTCGAAGGCAGTATTTTTTGTTAAAATTGGGAATTATTAAGTGCGAGTGAATGTCCCGAAAAGTACAGAAATTTATATTTTATTTAATATAAATTGTCAATGTTAAATAAAAAATTTTCTTTATATGATACGGAACTATGAGATATAGAGCAATATCCTTCGTTCTTTCTATGAACGTAAAAATAATTGATTGGGCACTTATGGCAAGTTTTAACTTTTGGAAGATAAATAGACAATATACACTTTCGAAAATTGGATTCGGATTTTGCATATATATTCAGTTATGCAATACATAGATATCTATTTAACATAACTCTGAATACAAAGTTGGACCATTATTTATGAGAATGTCGTTTACAAAATATTGTCGAAAATGTATTACATACAGAAATGGCCTTGCCCTTTCACACAAAGTTACTAGTGCTCGTACAACATGTACATACTAGCTATAAGCAAACATATACACAAGCATGTGCATGTACGACTACATAAGACGCAAAATTTAGGTCGTAGAATGATCTAGTTTTTGTTTTTTGTTCTTGTTTTTCTGTTATTGTTTTTACAATATATTCGAAAGTTTATGTTTTACAATCATTATTAAGGGAATGGATAATGGTAAAGATAATGTGACTTAACATCATGGAAATTCAATCAATTAGGATGAAAGGAGATGAGCACATGTTGTGGTGAGAACAATGCCTCGGTTATTCTTAACTTTTGCAAGAGATAGTGTGCCAACTGCTTTAACAAAAGTTATCGCACATTTAACATTCTAGTAAAGCGGGAAATTTTACAGGAATCATCTCTCCATCACATCCTCCCACCTCCCCTCCCCCCCCCCTCTACCCAATAGCTAAATCCCTTGGAAAGCTCAATTTCCTCTCGAGCTCAATTTGCTCCTCGAGGTGAGAAAACTTGCAATCAGCCCAGCATGAGCAATAATCGCGAAATTATCGGGGGTCACGGTATTACCGTTCGCAGGTCCAGGGCGTGGAGTGCATATACGGCTGCTACGTGCACTCGGCGATCTTGCCGACGTTTCACCGGCGCTGCTACTGGCTCCTCCAGAATCCGGATGTCGTGCTCGTCCACTACCTGAACGTGCCCTACCCGGACGGGGACGCGAAGCTCGCGGCCCTACCGCCCTGCCTTGCCCTACCGCCCGACAAGAAGGAATGGACCCGCGACGAGCTCACCTCCCAGCTGAGGCCGATGTTCCTCGGTGGCGATGAGGTCGAGCAGCCAGGTCCTGGTGTCGGCGGACACTCTGGTCATCCCGTTGACATGATCGTCTCCCAGCTTCTCGATCGACAAAGGGCTTCCTCAGCGAGCTCCAGCACGGCCGCCCAGCTCGCACCCCGGAGACTTACACCGGACAATCAGGTGCGCAATCTTCGCTTCTTTCTTCCGTGCTTCGGAGATGAGGTACCTTGCCGAAATTTAGAGGCTCCAGCTTACCGTGGCTCCACTGCGCGACGTTCACATTTATCGTTTCATCGAGACGGCCACATCGTTCGCGATTGCCATTTACTCCCACACAACAATATTTGATCAATGACGTACTATTAAAAGTGTCACTCAATCCTCCATTATCCGAGACATGTAACCTTTAAGATTTCATTGTATTATTGTGTATTTCAATTAAAATACTCGCGTAATCGTAATCGTCATTTATCGACGTAAATTTAATAGAAAAAGCAACGATAGATTTTCCTAAACAAACTTAACCTGACAGACAATGTATGTTATAGCAAATATACATTAGTACGTGCTTATTTATATTGAATTTTTGTAAATGCGCAAGTGAACTGAAGTAAATATTTAACTTGACAATGAAAGGACAAAATTTGTGTGCAGCTTTGTTAAAAATTTTTGTTGAAAATTTCATTAATGACATTTAAATTACCCACATCAATTATTCGAAATTACATCGAGTCTTCTTTTTTTCTCGTAATCTCTAGAATCTTGATATATGGGATTACAAATTCTGTAAAGTTTATATCTACAATAAAATTTATTTCCAAAAATCTGTGAAATATTTTCTGTATTTTTCACGATAATGCAACATAATAAATGTATATATGAAAATTAATTTTTTTACTGATCTGCATTGAGATTCCGATGTGATTAATTAATCGAGTTCATCTAAAATACGATCGATATTATGTCATTAAGCAAATTCTATTCAATCTTTATAATTTATTGATAATTATAATAAAAATTGCCTTATATTTTAATAAATTTAGTGGTTGTAATTAAGTTCATAACTTATTACAAATTTCGATCGCATTATTTTTAATAAATAAAAATATATACATTTAATAGTATTTTTATGTTAAATAATCAGAAGCACGCAGTAAAATAATGTAACTAATAGATTGTCGATTGGATTTCTATTAAAATTTCAAAATTTTTTTGGAAAATAATTTTAAAAATTAAACAAAAAATAAAAAAATAATAATAATTCGGTTATAAACGATAATTATAAAAAAATTTAATTATATATTTAAATGAGCGATAATTTAACTAATACAAATTAAAGGTAGGAGCTTACGTCAAGTGCAAACGTATTTTCTGTCGGATAGTGCGAATTTTACGACCACTTACATGCCTCTAACGTTCATAAAAAATATATTCGGCACGTGAAGGGAGCACACGATCTGCAAATTGCAGTTGTTCCTTAAAAAAACAAAAGAAAAAAAAATATATATATATATATATATATATATGTGTGTGTAAGTCGCGAAAAGAACGATGACAATGACGAAATATAACGTAGGTCTCTTCGACTACCGGAGGTCAACAGCCAAGCACGACGGCATCGACGACTCCGCGAGTTTACTCGAGACATTCCCACTCAACACAAAGTCAGCAGCCGGCTCCATTAGTTTTAAGTTTGCAACAAATCCAGGGCGGCGGGGGCCTTCTCATCCTTAACAGTCAGCCATATCACCACCAGCAGCAGCAGCAGCAGCAGCAGCAGCAGCAGCAGCAGCAGCAGCAGCAGCAAAACCAGCAACAAAGTCAGGTGGAGATGCAACAGGTGACGGATCAGCAACAGCAGCAGCAGCAGCAGCAGCAACAACAACAGCAGCAGCAACAGCAGCAGCAGCAACAACAACAGCACGTCGTTCAGCAAAATAGCATCGACCATGATCAACAAACCCAACAACATGAGATAGAATCAAAGGATAGCAACAGTCATGGGTAAATAGTACCTTATTGAGAATATTAGTTTAATGCGAAAAACCGATCAAATGCGACAAGTTCTCGAGTACACGTGTTTACTTATTTTTTTTAGACCCTATTAAATTGTTATATTATCTAGATAAATAAATCGTTGAGAGAAATGTTATTTTTGAGTGTAACTGTACGTACATAAAAATTAATAATAAAGCTTATTACTTTGGAAATCGGGAATTAATGAGATTGTTTTGTTTTTATAAATTAAACGACTCGTGATATGGATTTGCACTTTTTTCCTTTCTATATGTCGATATTTCGATAGTTACATTGATCGACTATTAACCTTTCTTTGGCAGAATAGTTTCTTCTCCTTAAGAATTTTAATATTCGAATAGTTAGATATAATAAGACGCTAACAATTAATTAGCTTTTAATTGAAATTAAACGATACTTCGGTATTAATAAAAAAATAAAATATCTGTAATATCCATAAAAATTAAAATCATCTATAAATAAGCGTATTGTTAACTAATTTGAGTCAACATTCTTAACAAGCGTATAATAGATAATGACAGCTATATCAAACAATGGTCTCTCGCACAATCTAAACGACCTATCTTCATCATTTCAATTATTACGAGCGGAAATATTCATGCCTACCCCCGCGTATAAAGACTTAAGATCTCGTTTGTACGTCCTTGGCAAAGTTCGCGCTCGGAGCGCCATCATTTCTATGCAGATCGTGCACAAAGTTCACTTAATTTTGTCAATTTGACAGCAGCAATAGCACGGACTGCACGTCCCAACAGTCGGTGGCACAGCCGCCGCCGCCTCCATCGCAAGTCGTCGCTGACTTCGTGGAGACGCTCGACCTCAGCCAGGAGGACATTCAGCGCACCCTCTCCGCGAATATGGTGCACCCCTCGCCCTCGCCCTCACCAGCGGACAACAATATCATCAATCCCATGGACTTTATCGACTCGTCCGACGACGTACTCGTTAATCTCGACGCGTTCGACATGTTCAGCGACCTGCCGGAGCTGCACGACTTCGAGGCCGCGGCTACGGCCGTCGAGGTCGAGACCAAGACTGATATCATGCGATTAAGCTCGGAGGCCGAGGGCCACTGTCATCCGGGCTCCACCGTCCACATCGCCGAGTACAGCCCCGAGTGGAGCTACACCGAGGGTGGCGTCAAGGTCGGAAGTCCGCCAACTCTTTTATCCGCCGATGCGAAAGGGGCGTCGGGACGCAGTTGCACAATTAAATTAAATCAGTATTTCTCATTCGCGTTTAAGAAGGTTACGCAACGCCGTGTTTCCACGTCGCCAGCTTTCATATATATATATATATATATATATTGAAATCCACTGCAATTAAGAGACTTGTTTGTTTAATAAAATAGTTTCCCGTAATGCCGGGCGCCTTACATTATTTAATCAAAAGCCGTCAGTTTCCTGGGTACAACCTGAATCAATTGAATAATATATCTAACGTATATCCATTGTATTAAAATTTAACCTATAAAATTTCTGTCTTCCATAAGTTAATGCTTTATCTCCTCTATAACTCCAAATATTACCGCATCGTGTTATACTTTATTCAACGTTATCCAATAATTTCATTTTCTTGACAAATTACTATAATAATGACGACGATAATGGCAAAATCGTACAAACGAAAGAACCATCAATATTCTCAACTCTCTATCGCGAAAGTACATGTATGGGGAGAAAACAATTTGCAATATCGTAATAAACACATTAATTAGCGGCTCTGTTGTAATTATTGGCTACTCGATGATTAACGTCCTCGTTAATTTTGTTAAAACGGGCCATTTTAGATTTTCTTTCAGCGCGGCTGAAGCTACAGCTATTTATTATCACCTCAGCTACTCCAAAATCAGCCATTTGTTACTTTTGTTCCCTTTCGAATTTGTCCGCCTATGTTACATCTTCTCATAGCTCTATTTTTCTAACTTTCCCTTGCTCACCATTATCGTCCTATTAATTTTCATCAACCGATGAACCTTCGATGTATTCTTTAATGGAAATAAGAACTCGATATTTTACTTCACGGCCAACGTGTCTCCACGCTAAATTTTCAAATCAACATTTCATTCTCCCACTTTCCATACAAGCAATTCACATTACAGAACAACAACGTCTATTCTAATTCTAATCATACAGAGAAATCGGCCGACAATTACTTACATTCGTATTCCGTGAAAGCTAAAAAGCTCATTGAATATTTTACTCGAGAGCTTTAGAATTAAAGTGACATTAGTTTTAACCCAATTTGACGCAAGTACTTACTGCCCGACCAAACGTGAAATCCTATTCTTTAAATTCACTACTTTCCCGATTTCTTTTATCGTAACGGATATTTACCGTAGTTCGAGCAAGCAACCCGCTTCCCAGTAAGCTCTTAACCACCCCCACCCCCTCCTAAGCAGGCATTCCCAAGCGAAAATGTCTTCGTAAATAGGGTAGAGTTGTACTAGCTGAGAATAAACTTTCAAACGGGAACATTGTCGGCGCACTCTCTCGTGCAACACGTAATGCGAGGCCAAGGAGGCGGCATTAACGAACGGATGCCAATCTCGTCGTCCCCTTTCTATCGTAGGTGCTGGTGGCTGGACCGTGGACCGGTGGTGCTTCCCAATCGTACTCCATCTTCTTTGACGGCGAGCCCGTGGAGGCGTGTTTGGTGCAGCCCGGGGTTTTGCGTTGCCGGTGTCCTGCTCACGCGGTTGGCGTCGCCTCTCTCCAGGTCGCCTGTGACGGCTTCGTTGTCTCCGACAGCGTGGGCTTCGAGTACCGTAGGCCACCCCAGAGTGAGCCCAGTCCGGAGAAGGCCCTCCTCGACCGACTGGCCGACGTCGAAACGCGGCTTCAGGGACCGGGGCCTCCCTCGCCAGCCGCCCACCTCGAGGAGAGGCTCGTCGCTTACTGCCAGGCACGTTAACTACACTTCGACACTGGACACGTCTCGTACAATTTCCGCTCTTACGTAATGAGAAGCCGATTGGGCTTTTTAATAATAATCCCGGCTCGGACGTCGGGATACGACACGTCCCACGACACGATCAATCCCCATGGTCAGTCGCCATTTTCCATTTTCACTCCAATTCGATGCGTAATAAAAGTCTACGCGATTTTTCACACGCAGTTCGAGCTTATTAGGAACGACCATTGGGAATCGATGTAAAGCTCGCGCAATGGCTCTGTAGTAATAATGTAGGCGGTTCGACGATTCGATAATTCACGCAGCCCGATATGCGAAATAGCTGGCATGAATTTGGTTGACGAATCGGTTAGTCACGAGTGTTTATGAAAGGGGCGAGGTTCAGGTGCCTTCTAATCTCGGATAAAGTAAGTCGCGAAGCTTTACGAGCGGTCGTGGGTAATGGGAAAACGGGGCGGAAGGAGCGGGAGGAATGACGGGACTCGCGCGTGACTTAATTAAGCTTTGGCATTGTGATTTTTTGGCAGGATGCGGTGGTGAGGCCCTGGCGTAGCGGCGCGGAGCCGCTCCAGTCCGGGGGCCCGACTCTCCTTCATCTCGCCGCGGGCCTCGGCTACTCTCGGCTGGCCTGCGCTCTGTTACACTGGCGTGCCGAGAACCCGAGCAGCGTTCTCGACGCCGAGGTTGACGCACTGCGCCAGGATGCGGCCGGATTGACGCCCCTGGCCTGGGCCTGCGCCGCCGGACACGCCGACACGGCGCGGATCCTATATCGGTGAGGCACGACACACGCGCGCGCGAACGCACACCGTAAGCGCTCGCTCGCGACACCTTATCTTCTCTTCTTTTCTCAATTCTCGGTTTTACGATTATGCTTTTATGATTTTATTTTTACGTCGGGTAGTTGATTACCGCGTCATAAGCAGCGAGACAAGCACCGATACGAGGCAACGGAGATCCCGCTTCGTTAAGCGACTAGTCCTCGGGGGAGACGCTCTACGTCATCGTGAACGGAGTCTCTCGGTCGGACGTAACGCGCACTCCGTTCTTTCGCGATTGTTTAACGACGTTTGCCGATGATAAATTGTAAACCGCTTTAGAATCCGACGATGCGGTATCCAGTAATGATTTTGAATGATTTTGTTTCTCTTGTTGGGCCGTTGCTCGTTATATGTCGCATTGTTGATGGTGGCATCGCAACGGCTCGTGGGAAAATAAAATTTACGGCTTAATTAACTATGGGTGTGCCGAAATTATGGGGAATATCGGTGCAGTGTCGATTTATTTATTTATTTATTTTTTTTTTTTACATTTATACCAACGCCCCCTCAACATTATCATTTCAATTTGGGGTGGCGGCTGGTAAGCTTTACTACGATTAATTGCTAATAGGTATACGTAATTGAGAAAGGAGTCAATGCTAGAAAGTTACTGACTTGATAATAATGCAGAGTAATGGCGATAGTAGAATGGTATAATCACAGGAGCAGTGGAGCAGATCAACTCTTTGTTATTATAAGTGGATAAGTTTACAAGAAATTAATCAAGTTAGTTACTCGAGTAAGTTCCTAGTAAGAGACGCCTGTGATTATAAATCAGGGGCTATTTTAGAAATGTAAGTACTTCCATGAAATATCTCACTATATTTGTATCGCCATAATTTCTCTGCTATATCAAAGTAAAGGATCAGCCCGCTCTATCGTTGCTCGTAGTAGATTGGGAAAGAGCGGCGACTCGATTAGTAATTATAAATGAATAAGATATTTAATTTGACGAAACGATGATAATGAGGCATGTAAGCGCGGAGGAAAAGCTCCATTTAACAAACATTACACGGCTTTTTTTCTTGCTTTTTGTTATTCATCTTCTTTCTATTCTTATTGTTTTTTTTTTCTTCTTTTCTCTCTCTCTCTCTCTCTCTATCTCTCTCTCTCT